AAAGTTTGAATAGCAGCTTCATTGGAATTATATTTACCTCTGCCAAGGAGGTTATATTTTCACCCCTGTTTGTCATCAACATAACTCAAAAAGTTATGGACCGATTTTGCTGAAATTTTCAGGAACTGTCAGAAGTGGGCCAAAGAGGACAATAATCAATAATAATCAACAATTGCTACCTTGGCAGAGGTCTGCACTCTCGGAGCGCTTTTCTAGTTTTGTTATGTTTTCCTTTATAATTTTTTTCTCAAACACTTGCATTTGTGACTTTTAACTCTCATCCGCCTGAGGCTCTGACATTTCTGAATTTTTCAAATATTGGGACTTTCATCATGTGAATTTGAACTCTCATGGTCCTGAAAGTGTAATCTTAAGCTTATTGAAGGGATGGATTGAGACCATCTTCTAGGTCTTCCGGAAGACAGTCGGGTTTTTAAGTTTATATTGACCAATATTTATTATTTTTCTGTTGGAAGACTATCAAAATGGAGGATGGATCAACAAAGATACTTTGGAATACTGTCAGAAAATATCTCTGGGTCTGCTCCTGTTTTTGAGCATGTTACCTGTTGTGCATGATTAAAATTCAGTGTTGACTAACAGTGCTATTACAAGCATTATTTATTATTGCATTAAAATTGACAAAATGACCTATTTTGCATCATTATTTTCTGTTTTTTGTCTGTACATTTGACAGCTTTGCTGCCTTGTTGTTATAAGTACAGTAATATATACTTTTTACAGTTAGATTATTTGGTAGACAGAATAACTTAGGGTTTTGATGTTGCAAGAGATTCCAAGGTTTCATTTTTTTAAATCACATTTTTCGAACTTTTTGATTTTAACACATAAAAAACATCTATATATTTTGACAACTGTCAATTATGGTTTGTGAACTATGCAGTAGACTCTTGTGTCTTCCATTGTAAAGGGAAGTAATCTACAATCCTAGATATTAAATAGTCATCAATTAAGATGAGTATTAAAAACATGAGTTTAGTGTTAAAAACACACTATTGGTAAATATGTTCAGGTACTGATAATTCACACATGTCTGATACCATTTCAGCTTAGGGTGCGTGCTGTTGACTTAGGCGTGCCAGCAAGAACCAGTCAGACTATCAATGTGACCCTGAATGTCCAAAGGAACTATCACCCCCCTTACTTCCTCAACCTTCCACACAACATCACCAATTTAGCTGTGGATACCAGGGTGAACACCCTGATCTACACTGTGCAATCTAGGGATAATGACACACATGTAAGTGCACTTGTTGTGAAATGAAAATTTTGTATAAAGCTTCTTTTAAAATCCAAAATGGGGCTGTCACTTAGTGGAACGTGTATAATCAAATGTTTCTTAAATGTATGCTAAAATGACACTGGGTTTTATTTCTAGAAAAAAAAAACAATAACTATGCCAGCATTTATTTAGTTTGAATTGCTCTCCTCAAAGAATTAAACCCTTCATAGTATTGAATTTTGCTTTAATGTTAAAGAACTTATACCATAAAATTGAAAGGTTTTGTTTTAAATGAGCATTTTAATTTTTTTGTTTTCAGACTCCATTCAATGACATATCATATTTCCTAATTGGAGATGACTCTGCCCTATCTTACTTTAATCTGGATCAATCATCTGGTATTATTTCTCTCCGGAGAGATCTGACCAGTGACTCAAACCAGTTCTACAGGGTAAGTATATTGTCTTACCTTGCATATTCAATGTCTTTTCTCACACAGTTATAGTTCTCACTTAATAGGTACAGAATATTGACCAATTTTTATCAAAAGTTTTGCCTGGATAATGCATCTGCAGTAGTGCTGTATGGACGAAATCCTTTTCTTTAATATTTTTGCCCAACACAATGTCTCACCTAACACACTCAAAGCATTGCATCATCTTACACAGTTATTGTAGTATGTGATTTTAAACAATTTTACTGCATCATAAATATGTTTTTCCTATTTGAATACCTTAGCATCACTTCTTATTGTGGCCATATTTCTTACATGTTCTATGATAGGCATAACTTAAGAAAAGTGAAAACGGAATATCATTTACATTACAATATGGAATAGACGTGTTGTTTAAATATAGTTCATGGTGTTTTCAGTTGCGTGTGATAGCAGTAGATGGTGGATTGCCCCCCAAACAGTTCACTGCCACTGGAACTATTGACATCTCCCTGAAGATGAACATCCATGCACCCATCATACAACCCACCACCTACACTGCCAATATTACTGAGGACCATGATGTGGATGAAAGCATTGGGATTGTCATCACTGCTACAGATCAGGATATCAGGGTAAATAAATAAATAGATAAGTGAATAAATAGCCAATTTCCCAGTCAAGCTGAAACACAGAATTGAACAATGTTTGAAACAGATGTGCAATATTGTGTAAGATTAAATCAAAAAGTTTAGATGAATATTGTTTGTCAATAACATGTTATTTAAGAAATTATCGATAATAAACTAGATACAGTACTCCAAATCAAGTTGTTTTAACTCCCTCTATTTATTCTGTCACTTTCACTTCTTAAGCTACCATAAATTAAGTATATTTAATGCATTGCTAAAAGACAAGTTATATACAATATCTCCATTATTTATAATATTATGTGATGACTTATTTGTTCAGTTTTTGATTTTGCATATTTACAGAGGCCAGAAAATGAAGTGCAGTATGAAATTTTGGGAGGCCATGAGTACTTTGGAATCAATGCATCCACAGGCGTGATTTATGTCAAGAAATGGCTGCGCAAGGACTCCACAGAAACAGGAGTATACACAGTGCGTATTGAGAACTGTTATTAGTACTTCATATCAATATACTTCACATAAAACCATTCTTTATTTGTAAATTAAATATGTTTACATTGACCCATGGAACCAGTCAGTTTCCCTGGTTTACTGGGATGATATAAAAGATAAGAAAGAACAGTTATATCTCTTATACATTTTAAAAACTAATTTCAAATTGTAAGTTAATAATTGGCATGTTTTAAGATCAGTTTTCTGTGTATTATAAAATAACAGTTAAAGAAATATTGTTACAAACAAAATATTAAGGTATGCAGTTACTGTATGAGTATTTTTTATGACTTTAAAATGTAAAGATATATTTTTTGTTCAGGTCTTGCGGTTCATTACAACAAGTATCCTAATTAGAAGTAGAATGTGGTGATATATAGTATCAATATTGATCAAAATCCTTCTCTTTTTTCAGTTCCTGGTCACCGCTTATGACAAGGGTTACCCACGTAAACAAAGTCAGATTCCTGCCAGAGTGATAGTTTATGTGATACGTGAAAGGCAGTGTCCTCAGTTTAACATCACAGACTACTCTGGCAGTGTGGACGTCACGGCTCAGCCAGGAACCTTTGTACTCCAAGTGCAAGCTGAAGATGTTGGTGGGGTAAGTCTTACAGTAGAAAGGACACAGATACTGCTGCTGTTTGAGAGTTGTATGCTGGAAGGTGGGGGGTCAAATAAACTTTGCCTGGGAAAACATCCACTCTGAGTCAAATTTTGATCTAGGTTCCATGTTGGTACTGAAGTGCATGTAGGTTTTGTGGTAAAAAGGTCCACTTTTTGAGAAATAGACACCCCCAATTGAAATTGTTGGCTACAGGCCTATGTTATGATCAGCAGTGATAATCAATGTTTGTTGTTGCAAATAGAAGAATTTTGTCTTTTACTGTAATTTTGATATGAAAAATTGCAAGAAAATTGAAAGAAAACCAAATTATTGAAAGTGCCTGTTTTATGAAGGCATGGCTTTTTAAAAAAATATTTCCATGATTGTTTTTCAGACTGGTGGCATTGACTACACAATTATTGGAGATGATGCTGCACCTAATGTCTTCCAAATTGACCAGACTACAGGAAGGGTTTCAACCAAAGAAGGCCTTGCTTCTGACAACAGTGTGAAATATCAGGTAAAAGACTATATAATTGTGACATAACAAACAAAGAAAAAAAATGAAAAAATTAATAAATAGAAACCTGACACATACAGCCAATCTTGATTAATTTCCATGAATGATTTCACATACATTATTCTAGTTATTCTAATGATATTTAAGTACATGTATCTGCAGCATTGCTTTATTAAATCAAGAGATATGAAAATACACTTGATATCTGTAACTTAACTCCTATAAAATGTCAAAACTTTTGATACAAATGTAGCTGCAATTAGTTTCAACTTTTTACTGCAAATTGGTAAGAACCAATTCAAAAATGGCAATTAACAGTTTTTTTTACCTTCTATTTTCAGCTCCGTATCCAAGCCAGCAATCGTGCTGTTGTTCCGTGCACCACAAACATTGTCATCAACATTGGTGTTCTACGTAACTTCCATAGACCAGTTTTCCAGGAGCTAACATACCAGACCACCATCTTGGAGACCCATCCTGTCAATTCCCCTATCCCTGGTATCAGGCTCAATGCTACAGATAAGGATGAAGTTGTTAGTATGAATGACAAAATATGTACTTTTCTCTTTAACATATTTTTCCTATTTTAGATGCTATTGATTATTGAGGTAAAAGACTGTATATGTTACATAGTATTTGCTGCCAGAGTTTAAGAATCAGAGCAGCTTGGTGAAAAGAAAGAAAAGTGGATAATTAGGTATCTGTAGTAAATGAAAATGTGAAAAGCTGAGATTTATCTGGTTTCCAAATGTGGTAGTAATTGCACAAATTATTTTTGTCAAACATTAATCCTAACTCTGAGTACAGTAAGCCTTCCCCAATATGATGTTATTATAATGAATATGACAAATTAAATATACTGTGCAGTCAACATAAAAACATTTTTATCTTATTCACATATAATCCAGTATTGAAAGATGATTTAACTTTTTTTAGAGACCAGACAGTGTTGTTGTCTATTCCTTGGTGGACTCTCCAGATGCCAGATTTTTCGAGCTGGATGAAGAACTAGGTGTTCTCTCTCTTAAACAGTCCATTTGGGGCTTTACCAAGACACGATATGTGGTATGTCTGCTTGAGTACTTTTTTGACAATTTAATTGCAGTTTTTACACGCAACCACACCTATCATTTCACCATGACTGCCACAATTTTGTGATTAATAAATTGACCCATATTAAGCAGTGCAAATATTGACACACTAAAATATGACATAAAAACTAAATATTGCAAATGCACTTAAGTATGTCATGCTAAGAGGATTGAGATTTAGCACAATGTAAATATATATTTCATTGATCTGTCATGCTCAATATCCCCTACCACATTGTCACTTACATTTTAACAATTTGTGAAACATTTTGTACTGTCTCATATGACATAATAATGTAGCATTTCATAAAAAAATTCATTATTACAAACCCATGTGTATGTTATAGTTCACTGCTACTGCGAAAGACAAAGGGAACCCACCCCAGACCAGCCGTTTTACAGCCCAGATCACAGTGAATGTACTGAGGAACAGCCACCCACCTGTGATAGACACAAACAGGGACTATGTGATCACTATACCTGACACCACACCTGTGAATACCCAGGTCATCAGGGTGGAAGCAACTGACAATGACACTAGGGTAAGTTAGACACATAACATTGACAACCAGGCCCGTAGCCAGGGGGGTTCGAAAGAACCGCCCCTTTTTGTCAGGAAAAGGTCCATTTTGGGTAAAATTTTATCTAGGTACACATAAGTTTCATTGTAAAAGGTCCACTTTTTCAGAAAAAGAACCCCCTTTTGAATTTGCTGGCTACGGGCCTGACAACTGATTAATATGTTCTTGACAGTTTGATTAAAAATGTTTGTATCTCAGTGCTTTTTTAGATATGTTGGTGTGGATATTTTGCAAGTGTTATCTCTTGTGTACAATAAAGTTATACAGTAAAGATTAATATTTGCAGTGAACACTCATAACATAGATCTAACCAATACACTTGTTTTGAAAGGTAAACTGATTTATTTTTGATCTTTTTTCCAGCCTGAGTTTTCTACCATTGGCTGGGAAGTTGTTGGCAGTGCCAATTCTGCTTTATATTTCACTATAGATCAGAATGGCTGGGTGAGAGTGAAAAAAAATCTACAGGAGACTCCGCAAATTAACTTCCTAGTAAGTTTTTTATATGTAGGTAATTCAACACATGCTTTTTGTCGGATTGTCCATTTCACACTTTTCATGTCCTATATTCAAATGAGAAAAGGTTTATAGAAGTGTATGGGCACATGCATGCACATGTACATGTATGCATGCTCATGCAACCACACATGAACATGCACACACACAATACATTGATTTGCTTTTGCCATTACTTGCTGGACTAGTGTTCAAGGACCAGTTTCAGTTTTAAAGGGATTTTGACATAGATGTTGTATGAAAGGCAAAATCTGTCCTCCATACAAGTGATATTAACAAAAGGTAAAAAATATACCAGGTAGTTTTTCTGTATGAATCATAATATTGACAAGCAAACAAAAAAAAACTGCAGTTTTCTTCTTATAAAAAAGTTTTTATTATTGAAGTAGTAACTGAAAGATAAAACTGTGATTCTTCTATCAGGTGTTAGTGAGGGCATATGACAGTGGTCTACCAGCCAAGGAGGCTATGGCTGATGTCCATATCATAGTTGACCACAACCGTGACCGTCCCATCTGGAGACAGTCCTCCTTCAGCCACAGGATACTGGAGACACAGGAAACACATGAAACCTTACTCACTGTTCTGGCTGAGGATTCCAGTGCTCTGGTGGGTTTTTAGAAAATAATTTTTTTGCTGGATTAAAGAGATATTTACAACAACTCTTCAGTTTTTGGCAGAAAAAGGGCCATAAAATGGATTTTTCTGGGGTAAATTTTGATTTTCCCATAATTTTCTATGGTTAATGAATCCATTTCAACATTTAAAGTTAGTGGATTGGTTGTTTTTAAGAGATTATTATGGAGGGTAGCCATCTATGAAGGACCATGTGGTCTGATACAGATTTCAGAATAATAGTGATAATTGCCATTTTGGTGCTAAAATGGATTTTATTTTATTTTTATGTGTTGTTTACAATGTATTAACTTGGAATCTTGAATCTCATATTATGAAGAGTTGTCATCCCTTCAATAACAGTCTGTGATGCAAGATTGGCCCCTTGCTTGATGTTAGTAAAATTGAAGCCAGGGCAGTAAAATTTTGTGACTTTGGTCAGTTACTTGCTACCAAATCTGCTTTGTGCCAGCTGATTCTTAGACCTTGGTAAGGACTATGCAATGAGAGTTTTTGGTATACACTGTAAAAGGAGTACTATTGAAGGATTTATTAATTATTTTTTCTACAGCCACCATTCAATGAAGTAGAATACAAAGTGATAGGCAGAGACCAGCAGGCCATAGACTACTTTGGTATGGAAGGAAGAAGCCTGTACCTGAGGAAATCTCTGAATGGGATCAATCCAAGAATAGACAACTTTGTGGTAAGTGTGAACATGGAAAAATGTAGTAGGGTCATCTAACAAAATCCATTGCCTGGGCATTTTAAGATATTTAAATAGTTCAACCTATTCTGTAAGATTTAACAAGACTTATAATACATTGTCACAACACATTGTGTAATGTGGAATTTTTTGTAAACCCACACATATAACCCAACAATACCTTACTTTTTGGTCTTAAAAGAATGATATTAAGCCCCATACATTTGAATTCCAACCACATTGAAATAATTTTATTTACAGATCATATGAAAAGTGCTCTATATAGTTTAAGTTAGTAACAATATGTTATTTTGTTTAACTTACTAGATTGAGATCCTTGCCTATGACAAGGGAACTCCCAGCAAGAATGCTTCCACTGTGGCCACAGTGAATATGGGGGTAGATTATAATTTGTACCCTCCAGAGTTCCTGGGAGAACCTTACTCTGTCAATGTGTCCACTGATTCTTCCGGGGCCGTTTTCCAAATCAGGACCAGAGATAATGACACTGTGGTACGTTTTTATATTAGTTTAGTTGTGTTTCTCCCATGACTTTGTGCCAATAGACCAAATGGATAATTTAACCATTCAGCACAATTTTTATGTACAAATACAGTATAGTGTCTGTACATATTACGGCCATTTGAGTCTGTCTGCAATGCTGGAGCAGGCAGTGTGCTCACCTTGTAAGCTCAGTAACTGGGAAGTCAATGCTGTTTTGCTTCATACTCACAGGGGTTATTCATTGCACTAAGATACAACTAGTAAGAGTTAGTATGGACATGATCCTGTTAATTTTTCTTTTAATAATTTTGGTCATATTTTCACTAGAAGTATGAGGCTGGCTTGATAAAGGCTCAAAGTTTATATATTGCTTAAAATTTATTATTTTAGTGGTATTTGGTGTTTTTTTTTTCATTGTATTAAATTGCATATGTTTGTTATTCCAGATCCCATTCAATCGAACAACATATGAGATGACAGGCATTTATAACACTCCTGACTACTTTGGAATCAATCCACTGACAGGAATGATCAGCCTAAAACCTGGTGTAATGTTGTCCAGAATTGATGAGAAGAAATTTGTAGTATGTATTCATCTTTTCATATCTTGTTTGTTGAAAACTTAAGCTTGGACTGACTTTGGCCACTCAAAATGTTTGATAATTATTATAATAAAATCATAATAAAATCAGGGGTTAATTTGATATTCTGGTCTTTAGTAAATAATATTATGAAGGATATATGAAATCAGCAAAACTACTGTAACCAAAAGATAACCAGGCAAGAAGAGAGATAATTAAGTGCAATATTTATGTGTGTTAGAAATGCATTCTACTGGAGGATGCAGGCTTATAGAGTACCAGAAATGGCCTTATTTGGTGTCTTTTCCACCACTTTTGGGACAGGGGGCTAAAACACCCTCTTTGTACATAATGGAGGAAATTTGCCTATACTAGGGCTTCCTAGATCAATCTCTTTATAATGCTATGACAAATGTATAGCCATGTTCATCCAAAGATTATGCATGTGGTTGATGTAATCTTTTGTTTTCCAGGCTGTCATTGTTGTTCGAGATGGAGGCAAACACCAGAGCCAGAAGACTGCTGAAACTACTGTAGAGATCAATGTGGTGTGTGGGGGTCAGGGTCCTTACTTCCCCTCCAGTATTGCCCGTCTCATCACACTGTCAGAGGACAGGGGCAATGGACTGGTCCACACGGTCACTGCTCAACACTTCACTCAGGTATGCTGATCAGTCACTTCAGATATTTGAAGGTGTTTTGTGAATTATCATGCAGTTTATGGTTTAATTTAACCCATATTTTTAGTATTAAATCAGAACTTAAGAGAAGCCTCAAAACTCAATTTGAATACTTAAATAAGCGGAGTCACTTTGAAATAGTTTTATGTTTTTTTATGATTTAATTTAACTGATTTATGCATTTTGATTTTATTTAACCCAGTTTAACTTTTGATTTATCTCATTCCTTTCAGTCCACTGACAACACTCTTGTGTACAGGAAGTCCGGTTCTGGGTCAGCAACACAGTATTTCATTGTCAATTCCGGCAACGGTGAGATCACCCTGATCAGATCTTTGAAGCTTTCCAATGATCCTTTCATGCAGGTATGTACACATTTGCTAAGTACTTTAATATCTTCTCCATCTCATGTAATACAGGATTCATTAGAGACATCAATGACAAACCTAATTCTCATTTGCATTATTTTGATTTATATTAAATTTACCCCGCAAAGGCTTCTTTTCTTTTTGCCAGATTCAATTTTTTTTGAGATTTTATGATTTTATTTACCCAGCTTATCTGCATGATTGACAAGAGTAAAACTTGGATATTGTTCAGTCAAAAAGGGAAAGTCTTGCCTGTAAAAAAAATATTGAAAATGCACCGATTTTAGGTGTCATAAATTCTTCTGCTGAAGTCCTCTTTCTCTGTGCACCCTGGTTATTGTGGTGAGAGCAAGGTAAAGCTGCTATCTGAAGGTACATATACCTTTATTTTCTTCATTGTTTTACATTTTTTCACAAACAGATGTTGCTTTTTTTATTCAGCTGACCATAGAAGCTGAAGACCAGTGTGGCAGAATTGCCACCATCCAGTTGCATATCCAGATCGATCGCGGGACCACAGGAGACGGAATCAGCTTCATTGGGGCTCCGTACATTATCAATATCACTGAGGCACAGGCCATTAATGAGACACTGTTTACAGCCAATGCTGGGGTAGGGCTCTCTATAGATGCACTGTCACATCTGGTGCATTTTCAGATTTATTACACTCTGTTCTATTTTCAGTGAAACTTTTATCATAGTACATCTTTTATTAACGTGGAGATAGTTGATGAGACTCTATTTATGGCAAGAACTAAAGTAGAATCTTATATTTATTCAAAATTCACTCTTTACCCTTAAGATGTTTCCTTCTTTGTTCGGCAGCAGCAGCATTACAAATGATAATAATAATAATAATAATAATAATAATAATAATAATAATAATAATGTCTTCATTTCAGGTCGGAGTCACATACTCAATCCAATCATATGGAAACATCTTGTCATACTTCAACATTGATCAACTGACAGGTCAAGTCAGACTAACCCAGAGCATTAGAAATGACATATATAAATTACCATTTTATGTGGTGAGTTTCTTTAGTTCCTAATACTATTATTTTGCAAGCAGGTGGTGGAAATATTTAAAACCAAATATGCATTTTGTAAGAAAATTTCTTTGTATCATTCGGCTGTGCTACTGCTTATAAAATTTGTTTTACTTACTGGTAAAAGAATTTCAAATACTGGTGAAAGAATGTTGTCTGGTCTCTGAGAAAATCAAATCAATATAGTTTAACAGGGTACACTGCTGTCTATTGCACTCCTTGTTTTAAGTTTTTACCAAATAATTAAAAATAATTTCTTATTTTAGCTGAGCATACAAGGTCGCCGTGGCAGTGCGACAGGAGTTGCCACGGCAATTGTGAATGTTCTTCGTAATGCATACTGCCCAGAGTTCTCGCGTCGAAATGGATACACTTTCCAGGTCCCTGAAAACTACCCATTGGCAGTTGGGTTTGGACAGGTGTCTGCCATAGATAAAGATGGGGTAAGAATTTCAGTTAAATTTTAGCCAATTGATTTGTGTTTTGGAAAACTGTTGGTGATATTTAACAATTATTATTATTGCAAAATTGGGCAAATGTTAGTTTACTTTTAGAGAAATGTTATTATCAAAATTACTTCTGTCAGCTATTTCATTACTTGTGTTTACATTACTTTTTAATGGTTTTAAATCAGTTTTTACGCATTTGGTTGTAGAAATACTTCAGGTATTTCTTTTGTCCAATATTTGTCAGCTTTGCTAACATTTGAGATTATTCATGGTTTAAAATTGTAGCATCTTTTTCTAGGACATTGTGAGCTATTCCATTCTTGGAAATGCAGCAAATGAATTTTTCTTCATCGATAATGGTACTTTGCTACTTAGGAAAAGCCTTGAGGATGCCAACATAAGGACATTTGCTGTAAGTTATTTTAGTCAACATTTTCAGTGTTGATTGACAATTTTGAGCCATACAGTCAGATTTTTCTCACACACTACCATGTTTGGTCAACAAAGCATACGTATTGAAATTCAGGTTAAAAAGGTTAAAAAATTGTGACACTACAGTTACATATTGTTAAATTAGACAATATGATTATAAGTGTATTATAAGAATATAAAGAAGAAACTAAATAGATATATTTATTCTTATGTTTTTTTACAACCTTCTAGCAGTCTAAGGTCATGCCATGGCCTTGAACATTTCAGGTCTCCTCACAATCAAGTCTGAGTCAGTCACGTTCCTCAGTCAGTCACATTCCTCACTTCAAACTTATTCATCAAAAATGCCATTTCACTATGAATGTCTATTTTTTATCCTGACCATCTGTCCAACCAGCCGTATATAAGTCCTTCTGTTTATCTATCTTCAACTGTCGAATTTTTTCCTGTGTATTTTTCAGTTCACAGTGAGAGCCAGTGACAACCAGGTGCCTCCCTGTACAAGACAGACCAGTGTCACAGTCCAAGTGACCACTAACAACACTTTACCTGTCTTCCTTAACCTGCCAGCCATTGTTAACACCACCAGCAATATTTCCCCGGGTCGCCACTTATTTACTGTGTTAGCAAGGGACTCGAACCAACAAGTAAGTATGATGTGAAAATATTAAATTCAGCTGCTACTGTAAGATGGCCATATAAGATGTAATATAGCAAGGAACAATTTATTCCACTGATACAAGCACATGCATTAAAATTTGAAATGTGCTACTGGTTGCTTATCCTGTTTTTTTTATAACATGTTATCATTTTATAAATTTACACTTTATAAATTTTCTGGATTTACATTAAATGTTTTAAAATCAAACTACAATTTCAGTTAAAATAGATGAAACATTCTGCAGTTATAAATTAAGACCTGTTTAATATCCTAAAATGGAATTATGTTTACCAGCAACCCTTATTGTGGGTGTGATCACAACCTGTGCATACATGCATGTTTGAAAGTTTTGCCAACTCCATCCTCATAAAATTGATAAAATTCTCTTCACAAATGGGTGCACCTAAGGCACTCCTTGTCATTTAAAACTGTTATATTCTTCTCAGGGCACCTTGCAGTACTCCATTGTTGGACCCCCAGGGGATGCCAGCTACTTCAACATGGAACCCAATGGAAGGTTGACTCTCAGGTCCTCCTTGGGTGGCCAGAGTGGAAGAACATTCACAGTAAGTCTCAGGAGGTGGAATTAGAAATGTGAATATTGCACACTACCAAAGGCAGCCTGTTGATTTTTATCTTTAATTTCTCTTAATATGTGTATTTGGAAGACTTTGACAGACTTTCAGCTGCCACTACAGCCTTTGTCACAGAGGTGACCCTTGACAGGTAAATGTCGATCAGTTGTCATCCAATTATCCTCAGGTAGTCATGAGAGAATATAGGTCAACTGACTAATTACCTCTCATTCTAACTTGTACCTGAGGAAAATCAGGTGACAACTGATCAACAAAGTCAGTTTTTGATAGTGTCTAGGCTGACCATACAAGGCCTGTGGTAATTTAAACATATATCACATCTCAAACAGCTTCAGAATTTTACTAGCTTGACAAACAAATGTGACTATTGCAGAAATTTTGATATGTGTTTTAGACTATTTGTTTTTTTTTCTAGATCAGAGTAGTAGTGTTTGACAGTGCCTTCCCAGACCAGAGGACACAGGACACTATAACCATTAACGTGATATGCAGCCCCCGTGGACCCAACCTGTTAATCCAGAGATACTATCTGACCATTACTGACCAGTTTTCAGCTGGACAGGAAGTAGGAGTGCCCCTTGTGGCTTCTCATCCTACAAATGTAAGTAAAAAAGAATGTTTTGCTAATTTGCTATTCTGTCACATTGTGGGTATAAAGGACCCCATCATATGTTAAATATATAATTGTAATATTTCAAAAGACGAGTGAACAAAATTGGAGTTTTCTCTATCCATTATTAATTGTAATATTTAAATATTTGAAATTAATAAATGCATTTGAGATCTGATTTCCCAAAGTTCACAATCTACATGCATTTTATAACTTGTTGAAAATGAAACATGATGTCTATAATGTTTGCTAGTACAGTGAATTAATGTAAGATTATTTAAAGTTAAAGAGTGGCACTGCAGCATTGCTGTTGTTCATATTGGTCATATAAAAGCAAATGTGCTTTGATTTCCATGCTGGAGAGTTCTAGGTTTTGTTCAGTATGAAGTTACCTCATGGTGTTATTGTATTTGTATTTCTTGTAGGATTCTCTGACATTCAAAATCATTGGTGATAACCAGGTCAATCAGTGGTACTACATTGAATCCAGAACTGGACAGATATACACCCGTCGTCCAATGAAAGATGCACCTCAATCCAGTGATGAGGTGAGTACTGTACTGTACAAATAACCTCATTCCAAGGGTAGATCAGTAGATATATCAAGGTCACAAAATATATTTTGAAACCAATAAACAAGAGCAAGGATTACAAGCAAAATGTCAAGATAATTAAAAAGTATATTTAATACCCTTGAAGAAGGTGGGGTTTATTCAAAATTATTTACATTATACAAAGAATGATTGGTATCACAAGTGAGCAATAATGTATTGGTTTTCATTGTTCAGCACAGTCAGGTCTGTAAGAAAACAGATGTTTAAAGTGTCATATTAAGAAAACGAATTTTTACAAAAGGAAAATCAAATTTATTTTTCAGTTAGTCATATATGTGTAATATGAAAATATGATATGTAACTGCTGGAAATTTTCAAAAACCGTAGTCATTTAATGAGAATTATTTAAGTAACTCAGAAAAGTTTGCATTCTTCAAATGTACTTTTTTCAAACTTCTAAATATATTTCCTGAAAATCATTATTTTGGAAAATACAGATTTATTTATCAATTTTGTTCTAATTAATTTAAAACTGACAGTAACTGTTTTTTGTTTCCAGTTTGCTGTGGAGGTCAGTGACCAGTGCCAACCACCCAAGACTGCCATAGCACACGTGAATGTGACCATTTTGAGATCTGGAGCTCAGCCCGCATTTGAGAACCTTCCATTTACGCTCCCCCTCCCTGTTAACACTACTATCAACAGAGCCATTTATCAAGTCAAAGCCACTGATGAGAATCTTGTAGTATGTTTTGTTTTGTTTTGTTTTATTTTCCATTGTAGTCACATTTGATCCTTGGTCATGTAGTTGTCTAGTTTTGTAGATATATTAAGTAAATTCTTATGAATGTTGGGCTTACTTGCAGAACTGAAATAAAAAAATACTTGTGTGTGGAGTCATTTGTTGGCTTACATAATTGTGGTGAAATAATTATCTTGTTGCCTCAGGTAGTCACTAAAAAGTGAACAACCTTAACTCCAGCAACCAGTCATTTAGAAATATGAAATATAATTTAAGACTTTTGGTCATGTGGGACCATTGCCTTTGTCAGTATAGCACAAATTTTTAACTTTTTACTTGTTTATTTGGGTAATGGAGAATCGTTCTATTTTTTTTTCACTTCAGAACACCATCAACTACCGCGTCATGGGTCAGTACCCAGCCACTCAGTACTTTGAAATGAGAGACCCCACATCTGGTCTTATCTATATCAAGCGCTCCATGACAGAAGACGAGACAAGGACATCGGCTTACTTTGTAAGTACACTACAGATGAGGTTAGAGTGCTTAACACTCCACTAGAGGGAGCAGATGTTCTGATTTATTCCAGTATTGCCAAATGAAAAACTGTATGTACTGGAACACCTAACACACTTTATCTCTCATCCAGTCACATTGATTAACAATGCTACATGTCTGATCTAGACTGAATTTATTATATTTGCTCATTTGAGAAAGATATGCTAACAAACATAACATTTTTCAAAGATTTGAGTATGAAAAATTTTAAGGGAAATTCAGTATCATCACTAATTTAAAAGTTCAAAATGATTGTACATAATTGTTCCAGTTCCTTGATTCACATTTGTGTGTGTGTGTGCTTGTGTATGTGTGTGTGTATTTATGTGTATGTTTTTTTGTGATTTTCATATTTGAATAAATTTACTTTTGCTTAATCATTTTTTGCTTCACACACCATATCAACGAAAATATGACATATTCTATAATATAGATATGTGTGGCTGCCTATGACAGCGCCTTCCCGAACGACCAGGCCATCCGCTGCCTTACAGTGACACCTCTACGGAACTTTGCCAGGCCAGAAGTTCCTGACTATATTAGAAATATATCCAACACTTTCCCTGTAGGTTCAGTTGTATTGGATGTTAATGCCACAGATGCTGATGGGGTAAGTCTCAGTTATTACTATAATGATATTGATAATTGTTCAAGTAATTCAAACACCTCAGTTTTTTCCCTAATGTATTATTGTAATTGTGAAATTTAAAACTGGCATGAAATGGAAAATAAAGTTTAAATTGAAAGAACCCTCCCTAGAACTGAGTATTTCAAAAGAGAATTTTTAAATTTTATTTTAAATATGAATAAAAAATTGGGAAGTTTGATAAATGCAATATTATTTATTCATTTTGCTTCAAACCTAGGAATGAGTTACATAATTGGCTTCTTATGACTTTATAATCTTTCCTTATCATTTGAGGATTCAAGGAAATTCAATCTGTTACACAACTTATATAACAATGTCATGAATATTCTATGATACAGCTCTGAAAGCAATTTTGCTAAAGAGATATGTTGTATTTATAACAAAAAGGAAAACTTTAGTTTTTTATACTATTGACTTGTTTGTGATAAGGTGTCGGTTGGATATATGGCATTTTGTTTCAGGATGAGTTAGTATACGACTTGCCCAACAACTCAGAGCTTCGTAGGGCATTCTTCATCGACAAGACTACTGGAGAAATACGCCTCCTCACCTCTCTAGCCAATCAAAATGGGCAGTTCAGAGTATGTATATACCACAAGAACTGATTGTGTGTCCAAAACTGAATTTTTTTCTAATATTGTTATTCTAGGTGTGGTTTCAGTGTATTTCCTGGTACAGTTTTCTTTAATAGTCCTAATCTGTGATAAAGCCTGTGAAGACTGTCAAGCAGATGTATTAATAAAATCCAGAAAATGAGTATTAAAACATCCTTACTTACCCTCAGCAATAGTTTTTCATTAAAATTCATTCAAATTAAAAATGATAATAATGCATCTATGTCTCCTTGAACAAGTTTCTTTTCGTATCTTCAGTTTTCTGTAATAGTATATGAGAGAGACAACCCCAGCAGAGTCGGTATTGGCACAGTAACTATACACTACGGTGGTTCCGGAGGCACCAGCTCCTGTGAAATTTCCTTCCCACAAGGCCAGCTCACTGCCAGAATAAAAGAGAACATTCAAGTCGGGGAGGTGTTTGTCCGCACACAGCTGCCCAGGAGAAGTTGTGTGAAGGTATGATGTAACAATTGACAGATTTAAAACTTAGCACAAGAAGACATGTTGGATGTGAATGGGAAGTTCAGCTTTGTTGATTAGAAGTAAGAGTTCAGGCAAGAAATATACCTTTTGTAAGTGGGGCTGGGGGGGGGGGGGGATATTGATTGAACAACCCTTTTGGCCTAGAAAAGATTCACTGTTAAACAAAATTTGATTTAAGTTTTTATGACATTATGGTAAATAGGTCTCTTCTTTTCTTTAAAAAAAAATAATACAATCACTTTTATAGTAATTCCAAAGTTGGCCCATGTCTGCTCTGAAACTCTGGTTGGGCATCTTAATGTCATTTGGGTTATATTTATTTAGAAGCACGTACCTAATATTATATTCTTGTATGATATGAAAAGTCACAAAATATAATCATTGTTTTGAGTGTATATGATGCTTTATTACAGCAAGGAGATTCAACTGAGGTATGAGATATTTGCCTTGTTAAATTGGTCATGGTATTATATATACATATTGTCCATTGGTGTTCTTTCTCATATATGTCCCATGCCAAATCAGAATTACCAGGAACTTTATTGTATACAGTATTTTCCTGACATTTCCCTATCATGTGAATGGTTTGTTTCCTTTGAATATACATGTGTCTTTTTCCCAATTCCACATTAAAAATGCCATGCCAAATATACAGTATCATTTGGTATCCCCATATATATGGTTTCCTTGATATTGACCTTAAGGATCTTGTTCTGTTCAGTTTATCCAATATTTTTACTTTTCCTGTATGTTAATGATCACTTTATAAAGGCATAAAGCGACCATCCATCAATGAAGATCCATTGCTTTGGGCATAAAATCATTTTTTCGGATGTAAATACCTTGTGTGGTGCACAAATCACTCACACTGGCATGAAAATACCATTTGTTCATCNTTATTTATTCATTTTGCTTCAAACCTAGGAATGAGTTACATAATTGGCTTCTTATGACTTTATAATCTTTCCTTATCATTTGAGGATTCAAGGAAATTCAATCTGTTACACAACTTATATAACAATGTCATGAATATTCTATGATACAGCTCTGAAAGCAATTTTGCTAAAGAGATATGTTGTATTTATAACAAAAAGGAAAACTTTAGTTTTTTATACTATTGACTTGTTTGTGATAAGGTGTCGGTTGGATATATGGCATTTTGTTTCAGGATGAGTTAGTATACGACTTGCCCAACAACTCAGAGCTTCGTAGGGCATTCTTCATCGACAAGACTACTGGAGAAATACGCCTCCTCACCTCTCTAGCCAATCAAAATGGGCAGTTCAGAGTATGTATATACCACAAGAACTGATTGTGTGTTCAAAACTGAATTTTTTTCTAATATTGTTATTCTAAGTGTGGTTTCAGTGTATTTCCTGGTACAGTTTTCTTTAATAGTCCTAATCTGTGATAAAGCCTGTGAAGACTGTCAAGCAGATGTATTAATAAAATCCAGAAAATGAGTATTAAAACATCCTTACTTACCCTCAGCAATAGTTTTTCATTAAAATTCATTCAAATTAAAAATGATAATAATGCATCTATGTCTCCTTGAACAAGTTTCTTTTCGTATCTTCAGTTTTCTGTAATAGTATATGAGAGAGACAACCCCAGCAGAGTCGGTATTGGCACAGTAACTATACACTACGGTGGTTCCGGAGGCACCAGCTCCTGTGAAATTTCCTTCCCACAAGGCCAGCTCACTGCCAGAATAAAAGAGAACATTCAAGTCGGGGAGGTGTTTGTCCGCACACAGCTGCCCAGGAGAAGTTGTGTGAAGGTATGATGTAACAATTGACAGATTTAAAACTTAGCACAAGAAGACATGTTGGATGTGAATGGGAAGTTCAGCTTTGTTGATTAGAAGTAAGAGTTCAGGCAAGAAATATACCTTTTGTAAGTGGGGCTGGGGGGGGGGGGTGATATTGATTGAACAACCCTTTTGGCCTAGAAAAGATTCACTGTTAAACTAAATTTGATTTAAGTTTTTATGACATTATGGTAAAAAGGTCTCTTCTTTTTTTTAAAAAAAAATAATACAATCACTTTTATAGTAATTCCAAAGTTGGCCCATGTCTGCTCTGAAACTCTGGTTGGGCATCTTAATATCATTTGGGTTATATTTATTTAGAAGCACGTACCTAATATTATATTCTTGTATGATATGAAAAGTCACAAAATATAATCATTGTTTTGAGTGTATATGATGCTTTATTACAGCAAGGAGATTCAACTGAGGTATGAGATATTTGCCTTGTTAAATTGGTCATGGTATTATATATACATATTGTCCATTGGTGTTCTTTCTCATATATGTCCCATGCCAAATCAGAATTACCAGGAACTTTATTGTATACAGTATTTTCCTGACATTTCCCTATCATGTGAATGGTTTGTTTCCTTTGAATATACATGTGTCTTTTTCCCAATTCCACATTAAAAATGCCATGCCAAATATACAGCATCATTTGGTATCCCCATATATATGGTTTCCTTGATATTGACCTTAAGGATCTTGTTCTGTTCAGTTTATCCAATATTTTTACTTTTCCTGTATGTTAATGATCACTTTATAAAGGCATAAAGCGACCAGGTCTCCTATGAAGATCCATTGCTTTGGGCATAAAATCATTTTTTCGGATGTAAATACCTTGTGTGGTGCACAAATCACTCACACTGGCATGAAAATACCATTTGTTCATCTGTTTAAATATTTCCTAAAAGTCCTTAAAATACGCTTGATAACTTTTTAATGGGTTGTAAAATATTTTCTGTGGAAAATGGCTTTGGGTATATAATAGAGTCACCCTTTTCTTAGAACAACAACTAAAATCATACTGTAGGGATTCAACATGCTGCTGAGCTGTGAAACCATCCCAAGATGGATATAACAGAAACTTGACTTATAAAATTTGTCATTATATTTTAGGACATATTCTTCTAGTAAAGTAGTAGTATATCTACACTAAGTTCTTGTAATTTGTTATACATGTCAAGTGAGTCTACAATGTGATCTTTCAGGGAGAGTTTGAGTTCCTTCTTGAAGCCACAGAGCCAGCAGCATCTTACTTTGGAGTTAACAGGACCACCGGAGACATTTTTGTCACCAAATACCTGAGAGACCTGCATGACAGCTATACAAAGTTCCAGGTAGGTATAAGCTAGGTTTCACTACATTAATAAAGCATTTGTTTTAGAGACAGTCATTCAGAGAAAAACAAAAAATGTCTTAAAAACTATTTTCATATTTTCTATTATTCATAAAAAGCTATGTAGAAGTTGTTATGACATGAAAATTAATCCTTTAATTGGCCTGTGGCCAAAAATACAGCCACTGTAATTAAAAAAAAATTATAGTTAATAGCTTACAGCTCAAAACCTGATTAAGCTAGCCACATGAACATGAATTCAAATCAGATGCATTTAATTTTATGTTCTTTGATTATAGCTGACCTTGGTTGTCCGGGATAGTGCTGACCATGAGGTAACAGACTCCATGGTGGTCAATGTAGATGTGACCCGTAACATCCACCAACCATCACTCAGAGTGTTCTATCAACAGGAGATTCCTGAAACTCAAGGTGTCGGCACTCAGGTGGCAAATCTCACTGGATCGGACCTTGATGGGGTAAGGGAATCTCAGACATTTGTTTAGGAATAGAATATAGATGAAACCATGGTGCAGTATCATGCTTCATGTTGTTTAAAATGATGAAAAGTTCACTTTTTCTTTAATTTTCCAGGATGAATTGAGATATGAGATCACAGGCACAAACCAAACCAGACAGTACTTCTATGTGATACCAACAGAGGGAGGTATTTACCTGAAAAAGCCATTACAGGGACCGGAGCATCCAAGATTATTCTATGTAAGTGAAATAGACTTTAAAGCAAGTAAAATATTGAAGTTTTTTAATTTCTATAAAAGTATTTCTACAGATGTCAAACTGAATTGTTGATAAAAATAATTGTGAAAGATTTTGTTTTATTTTTCTCTGTCAAACTATTACTATTTTTAGTTAGTAAAATATACAGTTATGCTATCAGATTTATTCGGTGATAAACTTAAAGGGATAATAACTCTTCATTTTGACCAAAAAATGAATTTTCCTAGAGTAAGCAACAATTTTCCAATACTTACCAATGGTTAATGAATCTATCTTTACATTCAAAGTTAGTCCCTGTTTTTTTTCTAAAAAGTTTGGTTTTTTGTTAAAATCTCTTAAGAGATTATAACAGAGTATAGCCATCGGTGGTCAGAAGACAAGCTCAGATATCAGAATAATAGCTATAACTGCTGTTTTTGTCGTAAAACAGAATATATTATATTTCTGTGAGTTATTCACAATGTTTTTATTGTGAAATATAGACCTAATACGAAGAGTTATTATCTCTTTAATACTTTCTAACAAGTGCTTTCCTGTCAATTTCAGTTCAATGTGAAGGTCAGAGATCAGAGAAACCCAGAGAAATCTTCCACTGCCTCATTTACAATCCGAGTCAGCAGTGAAAATGTCCCACCACAGTGGCTCCAGCTGCCTTATGGCACAAACATCAAACGCAATGCCTCAGTTGGTGATGTGGTGATCACAGTGGCCGCTGCTGATCCCGATCTAAAAGTAAGGGACTGGAGATTGTAAATATTGTAGGCTGAAATGTATTTACACTTACACTGTGTTGTGTAGATATTGATTCCTATGTTGCTTTTTGGTAGAATTTAAGCCTGGAATGACAGTGCCATTCGAACCATTCCAGTATAAGACATGGTTGAAAGTTAAATGCAAAGACATGTTCATAAGATATGGCATATTAGTATTCCTTTTTTCTTGGTGGTATTTGTAAAACTGATTCAGTCATTCGGAAATAACCCAGTCATATTTAGAAGTATTAATTGTTATACTTTCTTTTCAGGGCACTCTGAGATACCGACTTGGTCCTGGTGTGGTACCAGCTCCGTATTTCTTCACTATTGATGAAATAACTGGTCAAGTTAAAGTCAGGAATAGTCTCACATTGGGAACCGATTCAGTATACAATGTAAGCCATGATGATATTGTATAAAAGCTCCTCATTCTATTTGTTACATTGAAAGATGATTTAAATGATTTTCAAGCACTGTTGCTCATTAAATTAAGATCTATTGAAGTAGTCTCAACAGTGTATCACATTTTTTTATGTGATAAGTACGATGATGTTATTTGTATTTGTGTTAGATTTCACTATGTGTTTTGTAATTTTTTAGGGAGAGGAGGGTCAGAATTGTGTATGATATAGGTGTTACGTTATTACCCCATCACTTTTTTATCTCTTTCCAGTTACGCGTCCAAGCCTTTGACGATGGCTATCCATTTAACTACAATGAGACAACAGTGACACTCACCATACCCCAGCAGGCCCCTGTGTGGCAGACGACAGTTATCACTAGAAATATCTCCAGATCCCTTGGTCCAGGAAGTACTGTGATCACACTGGACGGATATGTTACTGACCCAGATGGGGTGAGTTATGCAGGACTGAGACAGTGGAGAGTGATTGAGTGAGATTTCTTGAAGATAGTAACTTGTAAAATTTTAACGGGTGCAAGAAATTGACATTAACTTTAACCAGCTTCAGCAACAGAATTCTGTTGATTCTCAGCACCTCACTCTCTCTTCTGACTTTCCCTCTTCATTGTCGCAGACAATATCATTGGTGCCATTGTTTTGAAACGGGGAAATATGCAGTGTTGTTGTTTGATATATATGTACATCTGCAACATATTGTTTCAATCAACTTGATTACTTAAAAAAAGAAAACCTTTCAGTTCAATTTGTAGATATATATCCTCATTAAGTATAATTTTTCAATTTTTTACATTTTTTGCAAAATATGCAAATTTGAGTTATGTTTTTGCCATGGCAGATGGCTAGTACGAGCCTGGATATCATGGTGACTTCAAATTCATTTTCACCCTTCATTATCAGGATCACCTAACCTACACTCCAGAAGATGGCAGCACTCCTGGTGCCTATTCCTACTTCCTGCTCAGACAGGATAACGGAAAAATCATTGTTACTGGACTGTTGAGCCAAGCACCTTCATCAACATATCGGGTAAGAAATTGGGCAGGAAAAATACTGGAGTCTGTTTAACAAAAAGAATTTCATCCCAAAAATTGGTCGTAACTTTTAGACTTCAATTTTAGTCTACTTTGATCCAAGATAAATCCATTTCAGTCAATTATGAGATAAAATTCATTCAACACACCACCTGTGAGCTACAGTTTCCATAGTGCAACTGTATAATGAATGATTTATTTTTATTTTGATATTTATTCCATAAAGTTTAGAACAGCATTCCAAATTATTGCAGACTGATTTGGTACATTTGTCATCAACTAACTGTTTGTTATATTTTCAGTTTAACATAAGAGCCACAGACAATCGCAGACCGCAGCAGTCAGCATCAGGTGTAGTTATTATCAATCTTATGGACGAAGAGAAACCGCCAGTTCAGAACATCAGCTACACCACCACCATTGATGACACCCATCTGGTCAATTCTGATGTGTTTGAATTACGAAATTCTGGGGTAAATCAGAGTTATATTTGAAACTTTTATGTTTCAGCCATGTCTTTTGGTTCCATGTGGATATCATAGAAATTCAGTAACAATTAGCAAATTGAATGATATCAGAGTTGTTATAACTTACAAATGCTGATTAGATATTTGCCATTGATGTGACCGATGTATCATTAACTAATTTATTTTTGAATTTAATGTTCAAACAAAAATGTATCTGTCTTTCTGTGAACTTCCATTTCTTTACTTTCTTTGAATATTTTTGAGGTCAGTAAGTGCAATAATGAAAGTTATGACTTTTTTGCTTAAAATTGTTGCTGTTCACACTACAGTAAGTGTGCGTCACTTCTGGCTTAATCAGTGGACTTAGACCCTGGGATAAATGGAACATTTCAGTTGTAACTTCAGCTTTGAAAGTTTAACACTTCTTTCATTATTTTGATAATTTTGAAAGTAAACTTGCATAATTGACAGTCATTTGTTCATTTTCAGAATGTCGTCCTGCGCTATGAGATGGCAGAGGAGCAGCAGCAATATCCTGCATCCTACTTCTTCCGGGTAACCCAAGATGGCCATGTGCAAGTGAAGCAAAGTCTGCTGAATGATGTCCAGCTGTCACCCAAGTACACTGTAAGTGCTATGTTGAGGATGATGATGATGATGATGATAATTATACCTATTACATTAATTTTGTTCTAGATATTTTAGGCAAACCATTTGTGTTGACATGCATATATTAAGTCCTCTTTTAATTTGAAAAGATCATCATGAAAGATAACTTTCAATATTCCTTAATTGGTAAATGTGTGAGATTTAGAATTAGTTTTATTTCTAAATCATCTAAGAAAAGACTTTTGATAAAAACAAAACATTTTTCTATTCAATTCATGATTCATAATATATCCAAATGTAATATGAAATTGCAATCAGAACATTTTGAATGATCCTTTGAATCTTGCAAATAAAGAAACTCTTATTATCCTATAAAATATCATATTTTCAGCTCTTGGTTGCTGGATATAATGTGGCTGAGCCTGGGTCCGGGCCTCTTGTATACATTACTCTGTATGTCAATGTGCGACGTAACCAGGCAGGACCCCAGTTTAACCGGACTGTTTACTATAGCAACATCACAGACACACACCCCATTGGAGGTTTAGTTATCATACTACAAGGCAGGGATCCTGATGGCGTAAGTTAAGACTTGCCTAGCCTAGGGGATTTTAGTAATAGCCTTTATATTGTCTCAGTCAATTTTTAAACAGATTATAAATCTTAGAGAAAATGAGTCTTTGTTTCAATTTGCCATTATGGAAAAGTCAGAGGAAAAGCAACTTTCTGTTTTCATTCAAAAAACAATTGGTTGTATTAAGTTGAATTTTATAGCACATTGTTATTTGTATTTTATAGCTCACATGATGATGAATCAATATAATGATTTCTCCGTACAGATAAACTGTCAAAAACTTTTCTCTAAAACAAATGAAAGCGAAGGTAATAATATTATACATAGGTTTGAATGTGGGTAGTCACATATTGGCATCTGTATATCTAGTTATATGTACTCATTACAGGGCTCCATTACATATAATCTGGTTGGAGATGAAAATGCCAAGGCACACTTCTTTGTCCACCCAACCACAGGAGAAATTATTCTGATCAAGTCTCTGGCAGATGTGACCACTTCATACTTTTATGTGAGTTCTTATATCATAATGCCTTACCAACTTGAAGAACTTTTATTCTGTGTTTTTCCTGTTTTTACAACTGAACTGCTGAAGTTTTTCATATAACTATTGTTATTATTGTAGATATGTGTACAGTACTGTCCATAGTACAAAGCAAATTTAAGCAAAAAAGGCTGTTTAAGGATGATTAAAGAACACACCGCATTTAAATTACCATTGTCTATTTTTATTCTTTTTTACAGTTATTAATATACCTTTATTTATTAGCCACATATTAAGGAGATTTTGCCAATCTTTCAGCTTGTGATTGAGGCTTGTGATGATGATCGTCCTAAGAAATGTGTCAATCTCACCAGCACCATTAACGTGTCACGTAATCGCAACTTGCCACAGTTTACAAATGTACCTCACACCCTCAGTAACTTCCCACCTGGCGTGAACTCAGGATATATAGTCTATAGAGTACAGGCAATATACCCCCAGGGAGTAAGTATTAATTCTCTTATGTATTAAATGTTTTATAAATAAAATAATAATTGTAATTATTATAGCACATGATAAGTGCACCTCTTCAAAATAATTATATTAAGTAATATTAGTGGCCTGTGTAATGAACAGAATAAAGCATAAACTAATTTCTTTGCTTCATAGAAATATGTCTAAAGCAATAATTTTTATCAGGATAATCAGGAAAAAAAAGAAAAGGAAAGGGAAATTATTCTGCTGGGTCCAAGTGTGCTCAGTACAAAAAATGTTGATTTAAATTACTTTCATATGAAAATATCTTAATGATAACAATAGTCTGTTTAGAAAGGTCATATTCGTCAAGGTGCAATAACTTTCAGGGAGATCTTGAGTACCAGCTAGTAGGAGAGGGTCCAGCCACACAGTACTTCAGAATTAACCAAACAACTGGAGAGATTATTGTCAGACGTCCCCTGGATAGAGATATCTCTATGTATATTGTAAGTATCGTGAAATAACCATTTCTGTTGTCTATTGTGTAATTCAGTTGTGTTCAAGGTCCTTTGAGGAAAGGTTGAGTCAGAAATGCCGTGCTTCATATTTGGAAAAACATGTTTGGTCTCTTTGGGAACATTTTTTTATCATTGTACTGGCAGTGTTTTGATAGAAATATCTTAACTAAATATTAGTCATTGTTTGTCTCTGTTGAAACTATGCACACTTTGGTTGTGGATACAATAGATTTACGTGTAGCTTTGTTCACAAAAGTCGTATTTAAGCTTGGGTTACATGTTTTATAAATATATCATCAATATTATTGATATAAATGTGCTTCATTTCCAGCTTAAAGTGCTTGCTAGGGTCATAGATCAACCACAGCTAAGCACAACTGGCACAGTGACACTGTTTGTAAACACCAATACCAAAGCCCCGCAGTTCAACCCTAGTGTTATTATGGTTCCAATTGATCCAGATCAACAAGTAAATACACCATTCCGCACAGTGACTGCCACTGATGAAGATGGTGTAAGTATATGATCTCTTTCTCACTTTTATCTTAAATTTGATTGTAGCAGCTAAAATTTATTTTCACTTTGTAGGTGAAAAAGCACATGCTTAAAAGAATATTGCTAGTAGGTGAAAAAAAAGTTGTCAGGTGTATTTTACTCACAAAAGTCAAAGAGGTATAGAATGTTATACATGTATAAAGAAATACATTGTGTTTGCAACTTTGAGCTAAGATGATTTTCTATTTATTTAGGATGAGTTGACCTACAGTCTGATCATGGTGATCCCTGAATACTCCAGCCAGTGGTTCAGGATTGACCCAAATACTGGAGCAATATCTCTTACAAATTCTGTAGAATATGACAACTCCACCCGCTATACTGTAAGTTTGATGACTGAAGTAATCTCTTTGTTCCATTGTCATAATTTTACAGATGCTTTTTGAAAAGAATGAAGTAATTGTTAAAATGGGTTTTTTAATGACTATCATGTACAGATATGGCAGTGTGTGTCCTTTGAATTTGTCAGATTCTCTTCTTAAAGTGAGACATAGAGTGGTTGGGTAAATCTTGGCAAAATGTATACTGAGACATCTATTTTAATGATTTTTCTGTCATTTTGCTTTAGTTACATTTTGTTACGTACCATGAAGCATTTGAGAATGTTCAAATAACCTTTTTCATTTTTGTTTTCTATAGTTGGTTGTCCAAGCAGCTGATGGCGGCTACCCCAGCCCTCAGTTTGGCTATGCCACAGTCCATGTGCTTGTGGACAGGATAGGCGGAATCAGTGTGTCTTCTTTCACTGCCAATATTTCTGAGTCACACCCAGTGGGAGGATTTGTCAAAGTGATTACTGCTACTGGCTCTGGACTCAGAGTGAGTACCTGCCTTTTGATGTATAGATTAGTTATTCAGTCATATTTTGTATTATGAAAGTTTTAAAAATCTGTCAAATGATGAACAATTTAATCTAGTTAATGCTGTTTTTTCTCCCTCACAAAGTTCAAAATTCAGCCAGTCTTGTGAGAATACAGGTGGAGTTATTCTCAGTCTTTACTCACTGTATTCATACTCTAAAGCACATGACTGTAAATAAATTGATTGTATTTTCTTTCTTGCAGGGTTCTCCAAGGTTCCATATTACAGGAGTCTACCCAGCTCCACATTTCTTCTCCATTGTAGAAGACACTGGGGTGATCAGGGTGCACAGGTCATTGAGGGAAGACAGCCTGCAGCTTCCAGCGTTTATTGTAAGTGTATTAGGTGAAAAGATTGCAGTTGTGCCAGGAATGTGTTGGATGTGACAAGTGCGGATGTGTGTTAGGTGTGAAGATAGGGGATGTGCCAGAAATGTGTTGGGTGTGACAGGTACTAGATGCCGTACACTTCTTTGCATTTATTGTGCATGAAGCAAGTGGAACTTACAGTGGAATACAGGCCTGCCAGAATGTGACAGCCTTTTGGAAGATTCAATAATGTCATTGTAGAGGAAATAGTGTCTGTGTGTCACCCTTGAAATTGTAGCAGACTTGAGAAAATTGCTGGATCCTTTCTTGCCCATTTCTTGATTCATTATGAGATTAAGATGCATGACTTGACACTATTTTCTGTTTTATTTTTTATCCCTATTATTTAATATATAAAGAACCAATACTTATTGTTCACAAACCATTTTTTTCACAGGTGAGAGTGGAGGTCTATGACTCTCTTTACCCAGAGAACAAAGCCTCAGCCACTGGTGTCATCAATGTAATGCGGAACCCAACTGGACCCAGGTTCACACCACCCACTTACAACGTGAACCTGACTGATATCTCTCCAGGGGGGATGCTCATACAGGTCTATGCTACTGATGAGGATGGGGTGAGGACAACATTATGTATAATATCCACACACAAGATTGTTACAATTATGATGTTTTCTTAATTGAAATGATTAAAAGAATGCACAGTATTCTTTCTGATAAAATTTTGGTTGAACTTTTAGCCCAGATGAAAGAACCTTTTACATGTCAATATTAATTTGTATGGAAAATCATAATAGTTATTCTTGAACATAACACAACACAGAGTTATAAAGTGTTTTTGAATTGTTTAATGTCTGTACAATTTTTGATATTTGTTTAAGCTTGTTATTAACATTACAAACATTAATATTTATTTGTTTTGTCTTGTTAGGATGACCTGAGATATACAATAGAGAGTGCTAATGATGATGGCCTCAACTTATTCCACATTACCCCAGACGATGGTGTGATCTACATGAGGAAACCTGTCAGTGAAGCACAAAAGGATGAGTATACTGTAAGTTTGTTGATGAAATGAGATACTGAATACTATAAAAATGACAACAAAATGCTGTTAGATGTACAAAAACTAGAGCTGTGTTACCAAGACATCAATTAACAAAAATTTTGAAGTGAGAGTAAAACACCACTGTCTATAAGGTATGGTAACTGTAACTCTAAATGCTTCCTTCATTTCACTTCTATAACA